CGGTTGCCTATGGCGCAAAAGCTAAAAGATACATCTTTGTACCTTATTTCCCTTAAATGGTACATATTAATACCTAAGGTACTTATTATACTTCAAAAGTACTAAGTTGTACATACAGTATTAGTAGCCTACCTTTTGAAAGGTTACTGCCCCATTGACAGTTTTTTTTCTAAAAGTGTAGACTTATATTATAAAAGAATAAAAGCTGGACTAATAAAGCAGATGGCAACAGTTGGTAGGGTATGATTGGTCAACAGCTTTTTTTTTCACTGAACCCACAACTATGTACACACTCGCTTTTGCTCATATCTCTTTCAATCAGCCTATTTTCCACTCATCTTATTTTCATGCTCCATATGGTTAGAAAAAGACACACACACACACACACACACACACAGTCACTTCGATTAATAAACTGTCAGTGTTTAGTTGCACAGAGCTTAAGGAGGACAACATATAAAAGTGAAACTTCTTTCACATCTGCAGAGGGCCAAGATTATCTTCACAGTGGAAAAACATTCACACTGTTATTTCATTGATAAAAAAGGACACATTGACATGATCGAATTTATGTGTGTGTCTCTACAGTAATAATTAAACTCTAGTCCATATGGACCCTTGAATTTCCACAACAGACATCTGTTCCTCTGCCTCAGGGCCAACATGCAGACATATTTCCTAATAAATATTACAACAAAATTACATGCACTTGACACCCTGGAGTCTTCATAGCTTTGTGCAGAATAAATGAGCAATTATGTAATGGCTGAATTAGTCTCAATAGGTGTGCTTTAATGCATAGTGTTCACACATTGACCATTTTGGCTTGTGCTCTGGTGTGGAGATAAATGAGCACTCATAATTTATAAAGAGCTTTATTAACTACATTCTGCATGCAGAAAGTGTGTTTCTCCATTGATGGCTATTTAAAGTTGTGTACATTTTAATTACTTAAATTTTGGTTTGTTCCTCACACGAAGTTATGATTTTAGACTATAATACAATGTAAACGACAATTTGAACTTAGAGATTGCTAGTAAATTTCACAAAAAAATCCCAAATAAATGGAAAGTAAACCTTTAATTTAAAAAAATGTTTGAAGTAGAAAGTGTGAAATAATGTTTTACTGTAAAACATACTCCAATGTTTGTTTTACAACCTTTTTCTGTGTACTTTTATGATGCTGTTTAGAGTGTGATATCTCCAGCCCTCATTCTTTTTCATTGTATTGAAAAAAAACAGCCTGGATATTCCTCAAAAATTCATCTTTTCTGTTCAACAGAAGAAAGACTGTAAAAGAAAGATTATGAATGACATGAGGATGGGTAAATAATGACACTTTTTCTCAATAATCACAGAGGCTCTAAGGCAAACTTGAGGAACTCTGGGAGCAAATGCCTGATCAAAGACAAAAAAAGAAAAAAGAGAATGAATTATAAACTGTAAGAGGGAAATAATTTATGATGCAAATAAGTGGGGCTTTTACTGTAACTTTAAAGGGGTCATAGGATGCCCATTTTCCACAAGTTGATATGATTCTTTAGGGTCTTAATGAAAAGTCTGTAACATAGTTTGGTTAAAATTTCTCAATGGTAGTGTAAAAAACATCTCCTTTCAGATCAAGCCGTTTTTGTAGCATTTTCCTTTAAATGTTAATGAGCTCTGCTGCCCCCGCCCCTCTCTTCCGAGCTGCTCTCAGAGAGACTGTTTACTTTAGCTATTCATCGTGAAACTTGCTAATTAGCACATTATTAGGAAAGGCGATTTGCAAAGATTCATTACAAAACATTATACTCACTTCGGTAGATGAGGCTGGATCATGAATGATTCGCGCGAACATAGACGCATTTATGTAGATCGGGGGCGCATTCCCTTCAGAAACAAACATAATCCACTGCGTCTTCAGCAGCTCAGATGTCGGGAGTAAATGACGACTGCTATGTTCATTATTACATCCAACAACAGAACACCTCAATCGCTTAGGAGTCATTCTTGTCTACAACTGCTCCAGTGGTGAAACAATGGCGGACTGATGACAGCTCACTCAGGCGGGTCTAAGGTAAGACGCAAGTCCAGTCTGTGCTGAAACGCTACTGCCAATCAAACTATCGTGGGAGGGGCCGGTCTATGTGACTCCACAAAGGAAGGCATCTGAGATC